CCTGCCCTACCTGGAGCACGGATGGCCAGGGGAGAAGTGAGGCATCGACCATGCGTTCTCGAATAACAAGCCGCACCTAACTTCCCCTGATGGACTGCGAGGTGTTGTCCGAAACCACCGTGTACTTGATATCCAAAGCTTCCCACCGCCTGTCCGCCTTGGGTCTCAAGGCGCGATGTAACCTGATATTTATGCAACGTATGTGTATAACGTCGAACTCGTCGGTGTCGCTGTACATGCTCGACAATCCTCTTGGGCCTCTGTGATGCTGCCTGGCGGCGGCCACCGCTGAGATCTACCCCCAAATAACTGCACGGGAGAACTGCCTGGACCATACTACCTTTTCCGCCGAAGTGCCTCCGAGATGGCGACCGCGTCGGGGCGACGACTGCAAGAAATAACCGACTTGCTAGCAATCCACAAACCCTGGGCCTTCAGGGCGACTGCGGTGCCGGACAGGCCCTTGACCATGTCCTTCCTGATCTGGCTGTGAGAACCCTTGGGGGAGCAGAAGAAGGAGGAACATATGGGGGAAGAGCAGAAGGAGAAGGACGATGGGGGGGAGAGGAGGAGATGGGGAGGAGGAGGAAAAGGAGGAGGAGGGGGGAGGAGGAGGAGGAGGAGGGAAAAGAAGGATGAAGAGGAGGGGGAGGCGGAGGCGGAGGCGGAGGAGGAGGAGGAAGAGGAGGGCGAGGAGGAGGAAGGAAAGAATGAGGAGGAGAAGGGGCGGAGGAGGAGGAGGCGGAGGAGGCGGAGGAGGAGGAGGAGGGAGGGGGAAAGGGAGGAGGAGGAGGAGGAAGAGGAGGAGGAGGAGGATGTTTGGCTTGGCTTGGGTAGGCCCTGAAGGCGGTGTGTCCAAAGTAGCCTCCTGACTCGGACACCTCCTCAAATTCGGAGTCATCGGAGGCGACGGATGCTCGCTGGATGGCGCGCTGCCCCATCTCGAGCACCAGTGGGCGGTCTTCGACCGTCAGCCCATAGGCTCGTAGAACCTCGCCCCTCCGACCCACCTCCGCCCGCCCCCAAGTCGAACGCGACAGAGCTGCGGCGGCGGCGGCAGGGGGGGGGGGGGCAAGGGCGCCCGCCTGGGCCTGCAGGAACCATCGGGCCACGAGCATGGCACCATGGGGCTGGTCGAGGCGAAGGTCCTTAACCCCCTTCCTGTAATGGGGGAACTAACCTTTAGAAATCCTCCGTAGCTGGTCCTGGGTGCCTTTGCCTGTGTGGCCAGATCACTCCTCTGAGAGCGACGGGGTCAGCTTGCCGTCTGAGCAGACCGCCCCACAACGGCAGCAAAACAGCACAAAACGCATGCACGGGCTTTCTCCCGAGACATCGGCTTGCAGCAACAGGCCCTGCCTAAAAGGCCAGGCCCCACCTCGCCAAGCTCCCCACCCTCTCCTGGGGGCTCCTCGGGCGGCTCCTGGTCGGGCTCGCCCTCGGGAGCCCGTGCAGCAGCGGAGGCCTGGCGGGCGGTGAGATACCGCTCCATCAGGTCATCGTGGTCCCTGCCTTCGGCAAGCAGGTGGACCTCCGCGGCCCACGCGGCCGCCTCGCGAGCACAAACTGTGAGCCCTCGCCAGAGTTCGTAAACAGTTCTGTCGACCGTGTGCATCGCAGCCCCTCGCTTGGCACGCTCGTCAGCCAACATATTAGCACGAAGCTCCCATTCAGTGGTGGCGCCAGCATCTATGTCGGCGCGCGCAATGGGCTCTCGTCTTGTGCATCCTGGTGTCGGAGCTCTGAAAACTCGCCCAAGATTGGCCCCAAAGGTGGGCCCTCGGGTTCCCACTGTCCGAGCCCCCGCCCGCCCCCTCCCAAGCGGCACCTACGCTGCCAGAACAATCGGCGTACACGTCGAAGGGGGGCAGGGTGATCTGCGTCAGCATATTCAAAGCAAAATCCTCGGCGTCGCGCGCGGTCTACCGTGGGGACACCGCTCGCGGGACTGGCCCATAGGCCACAGAAACTAGCTGACCGAACCTATCTACCTGGATGACGGACCAGCCCGCGCGGGCTAGGTGGGGGCAGTCGGCCCATAGGGCTGACCCGTCAGTGAAAAGCGCGCCAGTCAGCAAACCCAGCTCAAGTTTGTTGACCCAGAAGATGGACTGCTCGGGCTCCTCGGGGACCTCCAGCAGCTCCAGGGGGCAGGGGAAGGTGCCCTTGGCGAACCTCCGCCCGACCTCGAAGCCCCAGGGCTTGACGCGGGCCGCTCGGGCCCGAAGAAAGCCATATGTCCTCTCTCTCCTCAGTGCCTCATGAGCTGGGCAGCAGTAGGCCCTGTGCCAATGGGAACCATCGGGGCCACCACATAACTGACATGCCCCCGTGTCCGTGAGGCCGTGCTTGTACAGCCTGTACTGCGGCCAGTGGTTCCCCGAGATGATGGACCTGAGGGACCTCTGGTGATGACGGGGCCACCCTTGCGTCCCCGAGACCTTGGGCAACAGGGGGCCCAGCGCCTGCCAGAATATGGCCTTACACCATGGAGCATGGGGTTCCCGTGCCCACAACGCTTGACGGTCTGAAGCCCTCAAGGCCCGGTCCTCCACAAGTTGCTTGGTCAGGGCTGGAGGCAGCTTTTTCAAATCCAGCTTCTCGCCGCGGTCCGTGACGAGCACCGTGCTGGTGTCGAGCTGCCCCCCGATCCTCTGCAGAGAAAGAACGGCCACCTCTGCAGGAGCCGCCGCCGCTGCCCACGGCGCCTTCAAAATCGCCAGCCTGGCCTGCGCATTCCCGAGGCAAGTCTGGAGAACGCCTACCTTCGGGAATGGCTCCCAGACCGCCTGCGCCCACTGGAAGACGACTGCACCTATGTTCAAGATGAGCGGGTCCACTCTTGGGCCCTCCTTGAAGCTGCGGAGCCTGAGGCCTGCTGAAACTCCACGAGGAACTTTCCCAAGACTTCCAAGGGCCCCAAGCCGAAGGGCATGAAGCCGCGAGGGTGGGATCCCCTGGATGCTGGAGGCCCACAAGGCCGATGACGTTGGGCCCGACCTCTGAATCCACCCCGTCGTCGCCCCAGCCTCCCGAAGTATTCCGATCCTCCGAGCTCTCTTGGTGGCGCCCTCCCAGCGAGCCCTGGTGATCCCTACCCGCCTGGAGACCCCCATGGTAGCGTCCGTGCCTAAGTTCCGAGCAGACGATACTCTGCTGGTTGGGGGCAGCGACCAGGCCTGCTGCAGCTGCGCGTCAACCTCCGCGTTGCTGCACAGCTGCAGCAGCGCGGAGGCTGAGGAGGAGGAGGAGGAGGGGGAGGAGGAGGAGGAGGAGGAGGAGGAGGAGGAGGAGGAGGAGGAGGAGGAGGGGAGGAGGACGAGGAGAGGACGAGGAGGAGGAGGCGAGGGGAGGAGAGGAGGAGGAGAGGAGGGGGAGGAGGAGGAGGAGAAGGAGGAGGAGGAGGAGGACGAATAAGACCCCCCAGCCTTCCAGTACATCTCGTTGCCGCTCCAGAAGCAGAGGTGCACGCCCTGGTCGCGGGCGGCCTCCACGGCGGCGCGCTGCTCGCCAGACCAGTACTCGTCGTGGCCCACGGAGATGTACGATGGACATATTTTCCACCACCACTACCTTCGGTAGGAGGAAGAGGAGGAGGAGGAGGAGGAGGAGGAGGAGGAGGTAGGAGGAAGAGGAGGAGGAGGAGGAGGAGGAGGAGGAGGAGGTGGAGGAGGAGGAGGAGGAGGGGGAGGGGGAGGAAGAGGAGGAGGAGGAGGAGGAGGAGGAGAAGGAGGAGGAGGAGGGGGAGGAGGAAAGCCGCCAAGGGTGGACAGCACACGCACGCTGGCTAGCCAGAGGATGAGGATGAGGATGAGGATGATGATGAGGAGGAGGACGAGGAGGGGGAAGAGGAGGAGGAGGAGGGAGGAGGAGGAGGAGGAGGACCTCATCATCCTCCAACCCCCCCGTCCTACATGTAGTAGTGGTGGTGGAAAACTTGCCCATCAATGTACACTCGGGCCCGGGCGGCGATCTGCGAGCCCGAAATGTGCGGAGAAGGAGGCAGCGGCAGGAACATGAGCTTCTGGAGGCCCGCGCGGATTGCGGATTCCTTGGATCTGCGCTGAGCCCACCTCCTCCCTGGTGCGCGGAGCACGCCAGGGGTGGTGCTGGAGGCGCCGCCAGGGGGGGCCAGCGCGGATCCGAGAAATCCGCGCGGAGCTCCGAAACGTCATGTTCATGCAGTTGCTCCTTCTTCGAATGTGTGCGTCCACACCGCTCCAATACGACACGTCGTAGCCGTTCGACTCCAACCAGCGGATGGCCGGAAACTCTGCGTGGAACACCGTGTTGACGGCCCGGATGTCGCGGGTGATGACGGGCGTGTTGTACGAGCGCTTGTAGGACCTGCGGGACTGCGCGCCAGGCGGGAGCGAGAAGTTGTGCCGCTCGAGGGGCAGGACGCCGTACGTGGAGGGAGCGCCGTAGGTGTTGTACGCGTGCCAGGTGGTGTCCATAGTCTGCAGCAGGATGTCTGCACGCCGGGCGTCGTCGCGGACCACGAAGTACACGTGAGACGCGCAGGGCTCGCTGAGGGCGATTTCCATCGCGGCCTTCGGCCCGGCTGCGAGCCGCTGGGCCCCATAGGAGTGCTCCATGCCTGTGCACCCCGCCTGCGGCGTCGTGCCGCACGGCGGCATCTGCGAGTAGTCCCAGTTCCTGTTTGCAAACTTCGGGTTCGGGCCGATCTCGCTCGCGTCCATCCGCCAGTTCGGGGGGGGGTCTTCCCTCGTCAGCCTCGCGAAGTACACGCCCGAGACGGCATCTGGTGGCACATCCCACGAGCCGCTCACTGCCCAGTTCCCGCAGTCGACGAGCAGAGTGTCCTCCTCGACCATGCAGTCGGGCTGCGCCTGCGGCAGCTGCGCGGAGGGCAGGAAGGACGCGACCCTGCGGGCACCGGCGCCCGCGTAGTAGCCCAGGCGGTAGACGTCGTACCGATAGCGCCTCGACTCGGTCCTCACCTTGAAGTCCACCCGTTCCCCTGGGGCCACGCTCATGCGCGTGGCGAAGCCCTGGACGCCACAAGAAGAACAGCAGCACGGGAACAGACTTTTGGAGGGCCGCGCGGAGTTCGCGGATCGGCGCGGGGCCCCGATCGCAGGCGCGCTCAGCGCGCCAAAGGGGGGGCGCCCGGTGGATGCGAAAAATCCGGGCAGACGTCTGGAAGTGTACGTTCGTGATGCGTGCTTTCTTCTTCGAGGATGGTGGCGGAGCCAGCCGCATTGATCGGGTCGGGCGAAAGGGGGGGATAGCAAAGGGGGTCTTTGAGAATCAGCTCACGTAGCTGATTTTCCTGGCGCCTCCCAGCGCCGGAGGCGGCTATGTATCGAGGAATGGGCCCCTCGGTGAGGCCGAAACCAGCTGCATGCAGCAAATTTCGTAACCCCCCCTTTCCCAATCCCCCCCTCTCGCCCGGCCCGAATTGATGTCCCACTCGGTGCTCGGGCTGCCGGGCAGGCAGTTCTCGCGCACCACCGCGTTGGCAGGCGCCGCGCAGTCCTAGATGGGGTCAGCAACTGCACAGACAGAAGCCGAGCCTAATTATCCCCCCTTGCGTTGCCCCCTGGGTTTCGGGCCATTCCTCTTGGCGGCGAGCGAGGGGGGGAAGTGAGAAGGAGAAGGCGGGGAACATCGAGCCCCTTCCGAACCCAAACAGTTCCTTATTTTAGCCTCCTGCCTGTACCTGGGCGCAAATTTCCGGCTGCACGCCCTGTGCCACCGGCCCTGCCTCGCCACAGCGACATGAGCGAGCGTCACGACCCGACGGCCCCTCCGCCACGCGCAGCCTCCCGCCCCGTCCTCCTGCCTCCCAGTGCCCCCTCCCTGTCCGCGTCTGCACCTGCCCCGCCTCCGCTGCCGCTCTGCCTGCCTCGGCCTCGCTGGTGCTGGGAGGAGGAAGAGGAGGAGGAGGAGGAGGAGGAGAAGGCGGAGGAGGAGGAGGAGGAGGAGGAGGAGGAGGAGGAGCGAGGAGGAGGCGGAGGAGGAGGAGGCTCTGTCTCGCCGCCGACGGCAAAAGTGTCTGGGCTCGCCTCGCTGCGCCCCGCCGTTGCTCTGCCGCTGCTCGGCTCCCAGCGGCCTCTCGGGGCCCGGGGGGGACCCCTCGAGGCCGGGGGAGGCACGGGGAGGCCTGGGAGGCCAGGGCTGTCGGGAAAGCCAGGAGAGGCCCAGGCGGGGGGTGGGTGGGCAGAAGAGGCCACGCCGACGCCGACGACGACGACGACGACGCCGACGCCGACGCCCACGACGACGAGAACGCCATCCTCGAAACCCTGGGGTTCTGAAACGCCTCCCGGGCTTTTGCACCTCGAGGCCTCGAGCGTGGGGCCCTGCCTGGGCGGCGTCGTCTTTCGAGCCGATCGCTCTCGGCTGCCGCCCGTCGGCGCAGTCCACACGCGCCCGTCGGCTCAGTCCACGCCCCTCGCGCGGGCCGCGCCGAGAACAGTGCACAACCCCGAGCGATGGCAAGGCTTTCTTTCTGGAGGCCCTCTGGATGGGGTCGGAGCAGATGGGGTCGGAGGATCGCGCCGCATCGGCGGTGCATCGGCGACGCAACTACGCTGCATCGGCGACGTCGGCGGTGTAGCAGCGACGCCGGCGCGTAGACAACTGTAGAGGAACGAAAAGTGGCATAAAGACAAACAAAAACTCGGAGGTCCGCGCGGACTTCTAGGATTCGCGCTGGACCCCCCTCCCTGGCGCGCGGAGCGCGCCAGGGGCGGCGCCGGAGAGGCCGCCAAGGGGTCACCAGCGCCGATCCGAGAAATCCGCGCGGACCTCCGAGGTTGTATGTTTATGTCCTTGTTCGATCCGAGAAATCCGCGCGGACCTCCGAGTTTGTATGTTTATGTCCTTGTTCGTTCCCTTAACCTGGACTTCACATCGAGCCGCATCGGCGATGGTGAGCGTTTTATATTCGGCGTTTCGACATTGGGCGGAAGGGGGGGGGAAGGGGGAGGTCTGGCTCCAGACCTCTGCTTATCCTTCAGGGGTACGAGGGCCCGCGCCGATCGGCGAACCTCCCCTTGGTGAAAACGGCCCAGGACCGAAGCCGACGGACCTGGACCCGCAATATTGACGGCCGCGGCGCCCTCTCGCGAATCGGAAACGGCCAATTCCTGAATCGACGTGTCAGGGCAGGAGGTCGATCATTAGGTCGGGCATGTCTCCCTACACGCGGATTTGGGACGAAAAATAGAAATGGCTCCAAAAATGCCCCAAACATCCTCAACAAATGGTCCGAAAATCGTCCCCAGACTTATTTCCTGACCATTTGGGAATCATACTCCCCCCTGTGGAGGGCCAGGCCCGACTTAAGTCGATCAGCCTCCGATGCAGCGGCGAATGTCGGGGATCTTCTGACCCGGATCAATCCAGACCTGGGTCAGCCAGGCCTTGCAGAATCCTGCAAGATCCTGCGCACCCAAACCTGGGTCAATGCGACTCTGGCCCTGCAATATCCTGCAAGATCCGGCGCTCTGGCTGACCTCCGTTTGCATTGACCCCCGTCTCTTGAGCCCCGACCTGATCCTGCCTCTGTGAGGGAGGGAGGAGGGGCAGGAGGGAGGAGGGGGGGAGGGGAGGGGGGGAGGGCAAGGAGGGGAGGGAGGGGGGAGGAGGAGGGGGAGGGGAGGGAGGGAGGGGAGGGAGGGAGGGGAGGGATGAGGGGAGGGAAGGAGGGATCGCGACTGCGCCCCGCTCGGTGCGCTCGCCTCGATCCTCCGGAGGTGGCCACCCGGACTTCGGCGGGGCGCTGCGGTCCTCCGGCCCCCCGGGCTGCCCCGACCCCGCCCCCCGAGAGGCGGCCGCCAAGCCCTTTGCCCCTCAGGTCCTCGGGCGTGGGGCCCTGGCCGGGCGGCTCGGCCTCCTGCGGGCTGACCCCCAAAAAAGGGGTGTCCAGCTGGTGAACCTGCTCCTCCTCCTCCTCCTCCTCCTCCTCCTCCTCCTCCTCCCCTCCTCCTCCCTCCGTCCTCCTCGCTCCTCCCCTCCCTCCCCTCCTCCTCCTCCTCCTCTCTCTCTACTCCTCCTCCGCCTCCTCCTCTTTCTCGTCTCTCCTCCTCCTCTCCTCTCCTCCTCCTCCTCTCCTCCTCATCCTCCCTCATCCTCCTCTTCTCGCCCTCCTCCTCCTCCACCGCCTCATCCTTCTCCTCCTCTCCTCTTCCCCCTCCTCCTCCATCCTCCTCCTCTCTTCCTCCTCTCCTCCTCCTCCCCCTCCTCTCTCCTCCTCCTCATCCTCCGCCTCCTCTCCTCCTCCGCCTCCTCCGCCGCCCCCTGCTCCTCTTCCTCCTCCTCTTTCTCGTCGTCGTCCTCCTCCTCCTCCTCCTCCTCCTCCTCCTCCTCAAAACGGGGGTCCAGGTGGTGGACCCCAAAACGGGGTGGTGCAACAGATTCGGAGATGGATAGCAACCCTTTTGGTAAAACGTGGTGTTGGAGGCCTGGAAATTGGCACCAACACCAGCCCAGGGGGTTGCCTTCACAAGAAGATGCTCCTAGATTCCGGTGTTGGTGGCAATATTCCGGCCACCCTGGAAGCCAGAATATGACCACCATCACCGAAATCGGGTCGTCACCCCTTTGTGGAGGCACACCGCCGATCTTGGTGTTGGTGTCAACCTCTAGGCCTGCGATGGTGCAACATATTCGGGGATGGACAGCACCCCCGTTGGTAAAACGTGGTTTCGTGAAAACAACCTCGGGCCCAAACCTGGCGGGAGCGAGCCTGGTAACTGGCGGCCGCGGCGCCCTCTCGAGAACCGACAACGAACAGTTCACCACTCGACGGGTTAGGATGGGGTGTCTGTCCACCCCCGATAGTACAGGGTTAGGTCGGGCATGTCCTCCTACAGTGGGATTATGGGCAATTGTTTTTCACTAAAACATTACGACAGAAACGTCCCCAGACTATGTTTCCACTATGTTGGAATACTCCTCCTGTGGAAGGACATGCCCGATATCACATTCGGGGCAACTCATTGTAAATGTACTGCGCCGGAGAATCGTATTGCACTGCATTGCAACCGACACGTTGCACGCGGAGACATCCAGCAATACATTGGCGCACCGGGACGCAGTGCACGCCCCAGATCTACGGCAACCCCAACAGTCTATTGCACCAAACCTGTTGCACCATTCTTTTATAGAAGTCAGAAAATCCAGCCCGATAACAAGCACCCCGACAAGCGAAGCCGGAGGAATCGAACAGGGTGGGTTTGTTTAGTAAACTCCCAGGGCCGCGTAGTTATCGCCAATTGCCAGGGTCTGGGTGTTTTTTCCTCCCTTGATTTTAGCTAGACCCCCTTCTTGATCAACCAGACTCCTGCACGACCAGCGCGCCCGCCGCGAGCAGCAGCGCGGGCAGCAGCGGCAGCGGCGCGGGGAAGCGGCCGCGGGCGCCCCGCGACGCCATCGGCGCGGGGCGGCCCGCGGGCGCAGCGGCCGTGCCAGGCCCGTGCCGCGGGCCACAGCACACAGGCTGAGGGACCAAAGAGCCATGGCGTTGTAAACATGGAGGCGACCGGTTTGGTAGAGGCCTCCTCCTCCTCCTCCTCCTCGCTCTCCTCCGCCACCTCGTTTTCCACCTCCGCCTCCTCCTTCTCCTCCTCCTCCTCCTCCTCCTCCTCCTCCTCCTCCACCTCCCGTTTTTCCGTAGCCATTTTGGCTCAAGCCATTCTGGCTCCAGCTACGGCGCGTGCTGTAAAGCATTTTGGGGCCCCGCGCGGCCCCGTCGGCATGGCTGATGTGCTGGTGGCCCTGCATGGCGACCTCCTTCGGCAGCTCTCGGATGCGCTGGGGCTCCATCTCCAGGGGCTTCAACAAGGTGCGCGGTTGGCTCGCCATCGCGGCTTGCTGACCAATGCGGTGGCGAAGAAGGTGGCCAACGCCGACGTCGCCTTCAATTTATTGCGCCACCTCACGCGGCCGGGGTGTTTCGACTTTTCGTGCGAGGTCGGCTTGCTACTTCGTCGTGATGGTGGCCAGCTTCGTGCCGATGCTCCTCACT